CTCTGGCCTCCAAATCTGTGAGAGAATTCTATTATTTTAAGCCACCATGTTTGTGGTAATTTGTTATGGCAGCCTCAGGAAACCAATGCGATGACCCACTAAGATTACAACTTGTCACTGGAAAACACTGCACTAAAAGACTGTATCTCTGTACTGAGGGCGGCTCCAGTTCAGGAGGAGGAGGGATGTGAGGATGCTCAATAATGTTAAGAGCATAAGTAGATCCTGAGACCAACTTCCGCCTCATCCGATCATCAGGTTTCCTACAGTGTTACTTGCAGAAATGACCTTTCCCTATGCATAGCGGCCTTTGGCCCACTTTACCTTTTAGTTATTTGACGCTTGACAGTTGTGTTTCTTGAAAGTAGAGAGAAAGTAGAGAAGTGTTTCTCTTTTTTAACAGGGAAGAGAAGATAATGGGCTGTCCATGTGCACGAACATGTTGGTACAGTGACTGGGATGGAGTGTTATGAAGAAGAGGAATACAATTAGGAGTTTAGCAGAACCACCTGAGCTTTTTTCACCTGTAAACAAACTCTTGTCCTAATCAAAGCTCCATTATAGGTGCTTATTAATCAAAGTTCATTATAGGGTTCCGCTCCATTTTTCCTGATTACAACAAACAGAGGCACAGTGTATTTAATACTTTCAAATCCCAGCGTCATTGCTAATAATAATGATCTTGATGACAGCTAACATTACTATTGTTGATTATATTCCAGAAAGTATTCTAAGGACTCTGCATGTATTCACTTATTTAATCCTTACAGCTGTGTAATGTAACTACTATTCCAAACTTTTAACTTATTTTTGAGCTGGTAACATGTTCATATGGATCAAAGTTCAAAAGATGTAGTAAATTGATAGGGAAAAGCCTTCCTCTCACACCTGTCCCCAAGTTAACCTGTCTCCCTTCCTTGAAACAGCCAGTAATATCACTTTTTTGTTGAAATCACACTTATTTTTGTTGAAACCACATCTATGTTCTCTTTAAACAAATAATAGCATGTATGCTTGAGGCAGATGTTATTACAGCACTGCCTATTTAAAGATGAGGAAAAAAAGATACACAGAAAAGTTAAGAAACTGGCCCAAGATGAAGAATTACTGAGACAGAACTAGGATTTGAACAATCTATTTATAGAGCCATAACCATTAGACTACATTGTCTACACTACCATTTTGGCAGTAAAATAATTGGATGTAAAATGTTAACCAATTGTCTTTTTAATTTTTTTAATGTTTGTTTTTGAGAGAGAGACAGAGACAGAGCATGAGTGGGGGAAGGGCAGAGAGAGAGGGAGACACAGAATCCAAAGCTGGTTCCAGGCTCTGAGCTGTCAGCACAAAACCCGACACAGGGCTCAGATCCACAGACCAGGAGATCGCGACCTGTGACAAAGTTGGACACTTAATCGACCATACCACCCAGGTGCCCCTCAATTCTCTTTTTTTATGTTCAAATGAAATAATACTAGAATATCAATCCATCTATTTTGGATCACTTCCTGGCATAGGAAGCTTAAATCTAACAAATGCAAATAAACAATACCTTTACCTACATTTAAGTAAACAGGATTTTTTTGCTCAATATCACATAGTAGCAAAACTGGTATGTTGAGTCCTATTTCTAAAATCCAATCTGATCCAAAATAGGGCCACTTCCTTAGTATAGACCCTCCTCAATTCACCTGGACACTATGTCTCTTAACTGGTCTGCCTTTCTTGGATCTTTCTTCTGTAACTCATCTTCTATAGCTATACTATTTCCAAAGTGATCCCTCTAGTCCTTTGCCTTGATGTCCTCAAAAGTACTGTCAACTAATTCCTGTTTAAATTCAGGATCTGTCCTTAACTTTCCAGCTTCCTACACTAGCAGTATATGCCTAGAATTTTCTATCTTTCAGAATACACTTCAACCCCTAGCTTAGCACCCTTCATGATCTGGCCCCTGTCTATTCCTCTGGTCTAATAATCCTCAAAAGAACATTAGTACAGCCACACATGAGGAGCCCCAGCTAATTAGTCTGTACTGTAACAGTACTTGCCTTCAAAAATACAGTTCTCTTAACAATGGCTTTTGCCTGCTTCCATGAGCTCAAAAATTAGCTCATACATCACTTACCCTAAGAAGTCTAATTCCCTATCCTTATTGATTCTGATGTAAATGCCCCTCCTCAATGTTCCCATGTTTACTTCTGTTACTATTGTTAATACCTACTAACTGCACTTAATTGCTAATTAGTTTGCCAGTCTATTATAAACTTTTGGAAGGGCAGGAATCATTTGTTCTTTGACTTTATTTCCCCAGTGATTAGACTGGCATATATTTTGAAGACCACACGTCAAGAAGTCTGCCTTTTGATTAGATGCAGGGAGTGAAGAAAAAAGAAATTAAGACGATTCCTGGGTTTTTTGGCCTGAATAACAGGATAGATGTTTGTACCATTAAACGAAATGGCAAAGACTGAGATAATTATTGGATATTCCAAATGAGAGTTCAAATAGGCAATCTGAGGTTCAGGGGAAACTAACAGGCTAGATACATGAATTAAGATGTTATAAGCACACAGATGGTATCTAAAGCCCTGGGACTGGATATTACCTACACAGAACTGTGTAGGTCAAGTTTAGTTACCATTATAGCATGAGAAGGAAAAGCACAGGAGAAAAGGAAGCAAACTAGAGGAAAATGGTTTTTAGGAAGTTAAACAAGTATTTAATAATTTAATAGAGGAAGTGCTCACCTGTGTGAGGACAACCACTGGATTTGGCAGCACAGAATTCAATGGAGAACCTGACAAGTACAGTTTTATTTATTCATCTTACTTAAAAAATTTTTTTCTAATATTTTAGAGAGAGAGAGAGAGAGCGAGCGCGTGCGAGCATGGGTGGGGGAGGGGCAGAAAGAGAGGAAGACACAGAATCCAAAACAGGCTTCAGGCTCCGAGCTGTCAACACAGAGCCTGATACAGGGCTCAAACTTGTGAACCGTGAGATCATGACCTGAGCTGCAGTCAGATGCTTAACTGACTGAACCACCCAGGTGCCCCTTATTTATTTTTTAAACGTTTATTTTCAGAGAGAGAGACAGAGAGAGAGAGAGAGAGAGAGAGAGAGAGAGAGAGCGCGCGCGCGCGCATGAGCAGGGGAGGAGCAGAGAGAGGATCACAAGCAAGCTCTGCACTGTCAGCACAGAGCCCAGCCTGAAGTGGAGCTGGATCTCATAAACTGCAAGGGCTGAAATCGAGTCAGTTGCTCAACTGACTGAGCCACCAAGGTGACCTGAACAATGTTAGTAAAGTATGAAAGATAGAAGCCAAAATGGGTAAAGGTGGTCAAAAGGTATAAACTTCCAATTATAAGATAATAAGTTCTGGGGATGTAATCTACAGCATAGTGGCTATACTTAACAATTCTGCATTGTGTATTTGAAAATTGCTAAAAACATAGAGCTGCAAAGTTCTTATCACAAGAAAAATAGGGTACCTGGCTGGTTCAATCAGTAGAGCATGAGTCTCTTGATCTCGGGGTTGTGAGTTCAAGCCCCACGTTGGGCAGAATTTACTTAAAAAAGGTCTTATCACAAGAGAAAAATTGTAACTATGTGAAGTCATGGGTGATAACTAAACTTATTTTGGTAATCATTTCACTATATATACATATATCATTATGTTGTACACCTTAAACATGTTATATGTAAATTATAACTTAATGAGATGGGGGGGGGAGTAGACGCCAGATTGGAGTGTGCCAACAAATAGGATGGAAGAAAGCAGAAACATCAAGCAGAGAGGATAATTTTGACAAGTTTTACTGTAAAGGAATGAGAGAAAGTGGCATAGCAGCTGGAAGGGTCAATAGATAAGGGAGGGGGAAATAATTAGAAGCAAATCCTTGTTTTATACCTTCACACTCTATTGAAGTTAGTTTTTGAATGTTTTTTTCAATTGTATAAACTCCTTGAGAGCAGAATTTTCTATTTTCTAACTCTGTGTCACAGGTTCTCAATACATATTTGTAGAATGTCTAGAACCTAAATTCCTAAACCCTTGTCCAAAAAATGCAGTAGAGTAGAAAGAGTAAAATTTGGAATCAGATTCAAGTTCAAATATCATATTTTTCACTAATAAGCTAGATAGCCTTAGACAAATGTATTTGAAGAACCTCAGGTTTCTTATGGGCACAAAATATTTACTTTCTGGAATGCTGTTACAATTACATGAGAAACTGTGTTAAGTAATTTGTGTAAACTGTGTAAACACTTTAGGTGTTTGACCTAAAAATGGTACTCAGATGATTTTATTATTCTTATTATTTTCAATAGCAAGCAAATACAATCATGTGTATACCATACATACATGTGGACATATATACTATAGGGAATTGAAAAACCAATCTAGAGTAGCTCTCTGCCCCCATCACACTACCATTTTTTTTTTGAGGGGGAGCACGTATCACATTATCTCAAATCATTTATTATTTATACTTCATTAATGAAAACACCATGAAAATTGCTATTTTTTAATGTCATTATCATCAGTGGTTAAAACTGTGCCTTGTGCAAAGTAGAAATTCAATAATATATACTGAATACATAAGTGTACAACTTTCAAAATCTTTACTTTTTTCTTTTTTTTAATTTTTTTTTCAACGTTTATTTATTTTTGGGACAGAGAGAGACAGAGCATGAACGGGCGAGGGGCAGAGAGAGGGAGACACAGAATCAGAAACAGGCTCCAGGCTCTGAGCCATCAGCCCAGAGCCCGACGCCAGACTCGAACTCACGGACCGCGAGATCGTGACCTGGCTGAAGTCGGACGCTTAACCGACTGCGCCACCCAGGCGCCCCATCAAAATCTTTACGTGTTTTAAAGTTGTAAACTTTTAAATGGGTAAAGATACTGTCATCTCAAATGATTCAATACTAGCATGCAGAAAGCTTGTATATTATGCTCCTTCCTCAGGAATCACCTCAAGTCTGGGCTAGGTGTCTCTCATATGATTGCTTAGCATCCAGTGCTTCCCCCAATATAGCCCTTATTATACCGTAATCAAGTTGTTTCCAGTACAATTGTCTCTTGACTGAAATAAATTATGTCAACTATTTGAATACTTTTTCATGTAGTTCTCAATTTCTTCATTTTTCAAAGCCAAATCACAGAACTGGGAAGTTATTAAGGCTCAGCAGCCTGAAGGTCCTATCATGCAAGGGGCATGCTGTGGCTATCAACAACAGGTTCCACTAGTTTATGAGGCACTGTTGGAGACTTCTAGAGAAATATAGGAGAAATAGTCCTGAGGGTTCAGGATGGTCTGGTATGACTCTGGACTAGCTTTATTTGGAAGGTCTAGTCCCTATCCCAACCCCGAATGACACCATAATGCAAACCTCTCTGACATAAGCTAGTAACTCTGCTTGCCACATAATCAGTATCCTAATGTCTCCTAGCAGTGTCCATGGTGGTAACATTGTCTTCAATGTAAAAAGTGCCTATTTGCAGTCACTGCCTCCACCACGACCACCAGGAGTGCTCCAGCTGAGAGGAAGCTACAGTTCTCACTACTCAGACCCAGAACACCCCTTTCCAATGACCTGTTAAAACATGGTGGATTACTATGAAGTTCAAGGAGTGCAGAGATATGCTTCACCTGAGGACATTAAAAAGTCTTATCGTAAAGTGGCACTTAAGTGGCACCCTGATAAAAATCCAGAAAATACAGAAGAAGCTGAGAGAAAATTCAAAGAAGTAGCTGAGGCATATGAAGTATTATCAAATAATGAAAAACGGGACATTTATGACAAATATGGCCAGGAAGGATTAAATGGTGGAAGCAGAAGTCATTTTGATGATTCTTTTGAGTATGGCTTCACATTTCGTAAGCCAGATGATGTCTTTAGAGAAATTTTTGGTGAAAGGGATCCATTTTCATTTCATTTCTTTGAAGACTCACTTGAGGACCTTTTAAATAGTCCAAGAAGCTCCCATGGAAGCAGTGGTACAAGATCCTTCTTCGCTACCTCCAATGAATATCCAGTTTTTGAGAGATTTTCTTCATATGCTACAGGATATATACCATATGGTTCACCGGGCCATGAGGGCCTTAATTCATTCTCCTCGTTGGCATCTGATAATAGTAGGATGGGCAACTACAGATCTGTTAAAACTTCGGGTAAGACTGTTAATGGCAAAAATACAAATACACAGAGAATTATCGAGAATGATCAAGAAAGAGAAGTTGAAGATGATGGCGAACTGAAGTCCTTCCTTATAAATGGTGTGGCAGATGAAGAGGGCTTTGCAGAAGAATGCAGCTGGAGAAGACAGTTATTCAACAATTATTCACCAAAGTACTTCAGACCCAAACATGTAACTCAACATACTTTTGTGGACAATGATGAGCAAGATATACCTTGGGTCACCAGCAACTGGGATCCCTCTATTTTCTCAGCAGGATTCAAAGACGGTGGTAAGAGGAAAAAAAGAAGCATAAAGAGGTGCAGAAGAAGTCAACCAAAAGGAATCGTTAAATTGACTCTTCAGACACATTATGTTCATATAACAATTGAACGTGACTCTTTGTGTGTTTTTGTTAATCACAGAGTTTGGTAGATAACATTTGTTTAGAACTATACTAATATTATGTTTTTAACATGTTTAACAGGATTGTGGACCTGTGGTCAGTGTTGTTTGGAGTAGGTATGTCAGAAAAAGACGAGTTTGTGGCGACAGTGATGTTAAGAATTTGGAAAACAGGAAATACTACTTTACTATTTCTGAGCTGAACATTTACAAATCAGAGTTTTTCTTTAGCAGAATTCATGATCTATTTCATTCCTTTTATCTATTTAAAACCACTATACAAACTCCTGAAATATGTACCGCATTAGGAGCTAAAAATTTATTACGATGTACAGATTCAGACTATATAATTATTCATGAAATGACTTTTTTCCAATAGAGGTAGAGCATTTCATACATAAGCACATTATAAATAAAAATTAAAGTATTTTCTCTTAAGTTAAAAATAGCCAGAGTTATATTTGCATTCCCATGTTTACAGTAGCACCTATTCACAACAGCCAAGAGGTGGAAGCAACCCAAATATCAATGAATGAATATACATGCATATAGTGGGATATTACTCAGCTTTTTTTTTTTATTAAAAAAAATTTTTTTTACATTTATTTATTTCTGAGACAGAGAGAGATAGAGCGTGAGTGGGGGAGGGGCAGAGAGAGAGAGAGACAGAATCCGAAGCAGGCTCTAGGCTCTGAGCTGTTACCACAGAGCCCAATGCAGGGCTTGAACTCATGAACCGTGAGATCATGACCTGAGCTGAAGTCATACGCTTAACTGACTGAGCCACCCAGGCAGCCCTTTTCAGCTTTAAAAAGGAAACCCTGGGGGCGCCTGGGTGGTGCAGTCGGTTAAGCGTCCGACTTCAGCCAGGTCACGATGTCACGGTCCGTGAGTTCGAGCCCCGCGTCGGGCTCTGGGCTGATAGCTCAGAGCCTGGAGCCTGTTTCCGATTCTGTGTCTCCCTCTCTCTCTGCCCCTCCCCCGTTCATGCTCTCTCTCTGTCGCAAAAATAAATAAACGTTGAAAAAAAAAAAAAAGGAAACCCTGTTAAATGCTACAAAATAGGTAAACTTTGAAACACTACGGTAAGTGAAATAAGCCAGCCATAAAGACAAAATACCTTATGATTCTACTTACATAAGGTAAGAAGTTCATAAAAACAAAGTAGAATCGTAGTTACTGAGGCAAGGGAGGGAGAGGTGTTGTTTGGTGGTCTGTTTCACAATATATATTTTAAAACAATTAACATGGTAAATTTTATGTTATGTGTATTTTACCACAATTAAAAAAGAAAGCTAGACTTATCCTGGATTTCTTAGAGCAATGTGGCTATATCATGTATGGCAGGCCACCAGTGACTCACTCCAGATAGGAAACTTTCTATTTTCTTTTTTAGTATATACCACGTACAAAGGATCTACAAATACATTACTCTAAAACATCTCTACCCACTATAGTTTAAGGTTACAATGGAAGAAAAATGAGTTACATCAGATATTGAGCAAGTAGTCTTAGCTAAATGTTTTCAGACATTTAAAATGAGCTTAGTTTAATTTCAACACAATCACTTCTTAGTTTCCTCTATTTTATTTTCAAAATATATTACTTTTCAGCCTATGAGTTTTATTCATTCATTCATTCAATGGTATTTTTTGAGTACCTACTGTTTGTCAGGTACTTGGGATACAGTAATGAGCAAACACGAAAAACCTTAACTGTCATGGAGTTTAAAGCTGGAGAAAGACAATAAACAAATACTAAATAAAATATAATGACAGTCATAGGTGTTAAGGAAAACAAAATAAAGTAAGAATAGGGGACATAAGTTTTGGAGTAGGAGGGTTGAAATTTTAGTTAAGGTACCGAGGGAAAAGTGATGGCTAACATCTTTGTAAAGATGTAAAGAAAGTGAAGGAGTTAGCCATTTGGATATGAAGTGAAAGAGAATTATAGAAGGAACAGCAAGTGAAATGTCTCTAATGCAGAATGTGTAAAGTGTGTTTGAGGCTCAAAGAGATCATTGTGAACGATTAAGACAACAAGCAGATGAAATTAGGTAACAGGAGGTCAGATTATGCAGGTACTGCTAGATCACATTATGGACTTTGCTATTATAGGTGGGACGAGAAGCCACTTAAAGGCTCTGAGCAGAAGAATGACAATCTGACATGTTTCAGCAGGTCCACTCTGGCTGCTGTCATCGAGAAAAGACTCAAAGTAAGCAGACGTACAAACAGGGAAATCAGGCTATTGCTGGAATTCAGGCAGAGTCTGTAATAGCTTGGTCCAGGGTGATGGATGTAGGCAGGGGAAAGAGTGATCAAATTCTGGATATAGTCTGAAAATAGGGCCAAACGGAATTTACTGATAGGCTGAATATTGGGCATGACAGGAGTCAAGGTTTTTGGCTTTAGCAACTGAAAAAAGGGATTTGCTATTATCTCAGATAGGACCACAGGTGTTGAGTTTCAGACATGTTGCATTTGAGATGCCTGAATTTATTAACTGAAAATAATTTCTTAACTTGCATCCTGCATATTCCTTGTCATTGAATTCTTAAGTTTTTTTCTTTTTTAGCAAAAAGATTATCATATTATTTTAAGCTTTTATCACTTAGAAATGTAATGACTGCAAATTTTAATGTGACTAAAAGATGGGAACAAATAATCAAGCAAAACTAAAACCCAATCACCTTTGGCAAAATACAGTTCAGTGGCATTTAGCAATGCAACAAATGTGGAAACCCAAAAAAAGATTGTAACATCTACTCTTTAAATGACTGCTATAGTAAAATGAGGGCTTTTGTTTAACTTTGTGTTGGTTGGTAGATAGGAAATTTTATAGAAAGGTACAATTTGCATTTAAAACTTATTTTCAGGGGCGCCTGGGTGGCGCAGTCGGTTAAGCGTCCGACTTCAGCCAGGTCACGATCTCGCGCTCCGTGAGTTCGAGCCCCGCATCAGGCTCTGGGCTGATGGCTCGGAGCCTGGAGCCTGTTTCCGATTCTGTGTCTCCCACTCTCTCTGCCCCTCCCCCGTTCATGCTCTGTCTCTCTCTGTCCCAAAAATAAATAAACGTTGAAAAAAAAATAAAAAAAAAAAAGAAAATAAAATCATAAAAGCTTAAAGTATTTTAAATGTTACTTTTATAAAATGTGATATTTAGTTAAGTATCTGTCATGTATGTGGGACAACTCAGGGTTGGAAAAAACGCAATTTTCCAGTAACAAAACCAAAACCAGCATCTCTAAAAATTTAAGAATGACTGACATGCCCTTCAGTCCATTTTCCACTCTTAAAAATTCAGACTTAGTCTTACTCAATAGCTTAAAGTTACTCAATGGTTTCCCACTGCCCAGAAGATTGGAAATAACAAGACCCTTCATGAGCCAACCACCTCCTTTTCCTCCCAACTTGGTTTGTTTATTTGTCTGTTTGTTTGTTTGAGAGAGAGAACACAAGCAGGGGAGGGGCATAGAGAGGAGGTACAGAATTTGAAGCAGGCTTCAGGCTCTGATCTGTCAGCACAGAGTCTGAAGTGGGGCTTGAACCCATGAACCAGGAGATCATGACCTGAGCCAAAGTTGGATGCTTAACCGGCTGAGCCACCCAGTCATCCCCCAACTTGGTTTTTTAATCACCTCACCCTATACATCTTTTCCCAAATGTGTTCTAAGGGATAAAAAATTCAAGACTCATCACAGAAAAAGGGCCCCATGGTCAAATTCAGCTTGCAAATTACTGCCAAATACACTTCTTTCTTAGAGACTCAGAATTAGTCTATTATGTGCATGATGAAATGCAGCTTTCCCCAAACTTATTTAACCACAGAACCATTTTGGTTTAACACCTGCTAACATGCCTAGGACCATATTTCAAAAAAGCTCCCCCAGGCTTACTGATGATTGCAAAGCTTTGTTCCATGCCTTTGCATATGCTCCCCCTGCCAGGATGGCTACGTCACTCTAGTCTGCTTGGTAAAAGCCTTTTTTCAAGTCTCAAATATCTCCTAATATTTAAGGGCATGCCCTACATTACCTCTTGGCCCCTCCCTGCTGTCAGGAAACATCTATCACTTTTTCCTTCTCCACAGCACTGTTACTAAATTTAGTATGTTATACTACAATTACTTGTTTTGTCTCCCATGATGGTAGAAACTATGCTCTATGTTCATGTGTGGTGCTCAATGTTTGTTGAAAGAATTAACTGCAAACAGGCTTTTAAAAAATTATTCTCTACTTATTCAAAGTTTCCTATTGTACCCAATACTCTACTCAAAGGCTCTGTACCCAGAGTCTTTCTAAACAGCAACCAAGAGCACCACAGACATTCAAAGGTCTATTTAAGAGCACCTTGGGGCGCCTGGGTGGCGCAGTCAGTTAAGCGTCCGACTTCAGCCAGGTCACGATCTCGCGCTCCGTGAGTTCGAGCCCCGCATCAGGCTCTGGGCTGATGGCTCGGAGCCTGGAGCCTGTTTCTGATTCTGTGTCTCCCTCTCTCTCTGCCCCGCCCCCGTTCATGCTCTGTCTCTCTCTGTCCCAAAAATAAATAAATGTTGAAAAAAAATTAAAAAAAAAAAAAAGAGCACCTCATGTCAGTAGAATTTTTAAACTCTGAAACTTAGTAAAATCCCAAAATGACATTTAAAAAAAAAAAATCCATTACTGCCTTTCTTGAGCCCCTAAGTCACTTGAGTCAAGACTATTACAATCCATTGTTATACCGTCATTTATCTATTGCTTATCCATCATTCTGACTAGATAGTGAGCAACTCCACGGAAATGCAGATTCATCCACAAAGACTGCTACAAAGTTATTGAATGAAGAGAACATTCTTTCTGGCTCAATAAAAAGTTCCAAAAGGCCTCTACTAAGCCAGAGTTAAGACCTAATGGTGGTACAACAGAAAAAGGACTAGATGGTAATTACACAATTAAAATTTCTGACTTGCAACTTGTGATCCTGTGTTACTTTCAGTTCCCCATCCATAAATTGAGAATACCTACCCTAACTTT